ATCATATTCTATTTATTTTCTACTTCCTCCTCACCTCAATAAGTTATGGTCTAGATTATTTTCACTACTTTTTGCCTCCCTCCCCTTCATCCTCCTTACCCCTCGCTGCTTAGATCCCATAGCACTTACCTTCCCCTTATCCTTACCGAGGTAACTGAGTCCAGATTGGAATTTCCCTTACAGTGTGTTCCTTCTGTTTCAAGAATCCTTATTTAGCATTTATATTACATGTTATATAGAAACACGGATATAAATATATAAGATCATGGTTCGTTGCTTCCCACTGTTTTCTTTCCTCTTCTCTTCATCTTCCTCTATCTTGAAGTCTCTGTTCTGGTTCATTTGTTGTTTCATTAGAGTCTTCTTTTAAAAGTATTACTCAGATGAGATACTCAGTGATTTTTGCCAATCTTCAAATATCTTTCCTTTTTTCCTTGGCAAGGCCCAGGCTGCAGGCCTTTTCTTTCATTGACCCACATTCACTTTTGCTGTCCTTTAACTTCCAGGGTTGACAAATAAGAAGAAAGAACTTTCTTTCTGCCTGCAAATGTGTAAGATTTCCCATATCAACAGGGTTTAGGAATTTTAACCTGTCTATGGCTTATGTGTGTGTCTTTTCCTATCAATCCAGTCTAGAACTTAAGTCTTTCTTCAGCTCAGGGAAATTTCATCTATTATTTAATTATGACCTCTCTTCTCCTGTTCCTTTTTCTCCTGGAACTCATGGAATTTGCAAGTTCAGTCTCCTGGGTCTGTTCCACTCTCCCATCTTTCACCAAATAATTTGCATCTCCAAATTTTTGTTCCAGGTTTTAAGATATTTCATATATTTAATTTTCAGGACCTGTTTTGGGGTTTTAGCAGTGGCCATCCTGTTCTTTGAATTATCAACAGAAAAGTTCAGTACCACATTTTCTAGTGCAGGGAAATCTTTTGTGTTTGAGCTCCACACATATCTCCTCCAGGGTATCCTTTTTTCAGGGGTCTATTTCCTCCACCAGCACACTGCCCTCTGGCTTGTCTGCATCCTTCTTGCCTCAAGGCCTAAGAATTAAATCCTACATTCATTTTTTGGAGAGTTGAGGAGACTCAGCAAAGCCATTGACTGTACCTGGGAAGCAGGCTGTTGGTGGGACTTGCTGCTTTCCTGAAGATCCTTGCTCTTGGCTGTGAGGCTGTTCTCCAGAAACTGGTCTGCAGGAACTTCTTCCTGCCAGGAGCTCAGCAGAGCCCACTTAAAGTTCATCCCCTATAACTAGGAGTTGTCAGAAGATGTGTGGAAGGGAGAGCTTCACCAGGGTTGCCATATACTCAGAATCCCCTTGCTCTGAGTAGCCAAAGTACTATTGACAGATGACAGTTGTAATCACCCAAAGACTTAAAACAGAAGCCATTAATAGTAGGTGCTTATGGGAACTACAACAGGAAGTAGGCATGTGGTGAGGGGTAGGCATTTAATTCCCACCTCCCTCACCTGTCATTCTAGAATTTCTCAACCTCAACACTTTTAACTTTTGGGGCCAGAAATTCTTTGTTGTGAGTGTTTGACCTGTGTTATAGGATGTTCAGCAGCATCCCTGGCCTCCACCCCACTATATAACAATAGCACTCCCTCCCCAGGGGTGATGACCTAGCATGTCTCTGGACATTGCCAACTGTCCCCTGGGGGGCAAAATCACCTCTGGTTGAGAACAACTGTTATATACCCTTTAGTTCTATTTGATTTTTTTTTTAACCATTGCTCACACTATTCATATGATTAAACATCTAACTGAGGTCATGAAACAGAGGAAGAAATATGAAGTTGTTGTGAGGCAGCAGAATCAAGAAGTAGAGAGCATAAATAAAGGATGGGGAAGCCAGTTAGCAAAGTGGAAAGAAATTTGGGACTAAGTAAAAGAAGCAGAGACAGAGTATCCGAGTCACAGGACTGGAGGAACAGGAGCATGAAGACCCACATACTGCTGTCACTGAGTTTCCCAGATTTGCCAAGATCCAAGATCTGTGACAGTCCACCGAGGCCTAGCCATACCGTAGTCACTGTTCTGGGATTCCCATTCCATTAGGCCTCCTATTTGCCCAGGTGGCCTTACCGTAAACACCCTTCCACTTGAGCTGGGTGAAATCAGCATATTCCTTACAAATAAAGGTCCCCTGTAGACTTAGAGCCTGACAAAGAGATGGGCCCCCCACTGTTTGCTGCCAGTACTGTATTCACTTCCTAGCACCACACTTTAAAATAAATTTGATCAAGCAAAACAATGGGAATGATGAGTAGGCTACAAAAAGGTCTGTAAAGGAACTGTGAAAGGAACTTGAGAAATCTTTTCCTGGGAAGGGAAAAAAAGACTTAGGCCATCCATCAGGGCTGTCGTGTGCAGGTGGGAGACGATGGCATGATTGTAGCTCAGGAGGCCAAACTGGTGACAAAAGTAACAGGAAGGCATATTTTGACTCCAGGTTTTTGTTTTTGTTTTTAATTAAGGTATCATTGATATACAATCTTATGAAGGTTGCACATGAGCAACATTGTGGTTACTACATTCACCCATAGTATCAAGGACCCCCCACATCCCTCTGCAGTCACTGTCCATCAGCATAGTAAGATGCTGTAGAGTCACTACTTGTCTTCTCGGTGCTGTCCTGCCTTGCCATGAACCCCCCCTACATTATGTGTGCTAATCATAATGCCCCTTAATCGCCTTCTCCCTCCCTCCACCCCACCCTCCCCAACCCCTTCCCTTTGGTAACCGCTAGTCCCTTCTTGATTGGCTCCAAATTTTTTGTTTAAATTCTATCAGTAAGAAAATTTGGAAACAAGTGTTTGGTAAGGTAATGAGCTTCCTATCTCTGGAAGTGTTTAATAAGAACAAGCTCATAGGGTGGTTCCTACAGTGGGTATAAGTTTGGGCCACATCTGTCATCCTCCTTACAGCCATATAATTCTAGATATTTAAAAACTTGGCAAGAGACCAGGTTAATTCACACACTAAGCAGAAATATTTTAGAGTAAAATACCATGGTAATACATGTAAGTCAGTTAGAGGAGGGTGGCTGGTGGAGGAGTTGAGCAATAAGGGAAGATCTCAGAGATTCAGCACCTTTAGCTGGCCCTGGTCTGCTGGTCTTTCCCCACAGATTTAGAACTCATGGTTGCAAGAGATAGAAAAATCTAACTTAGACAGTTTTAAGCAAAAAAGGTAATTTATTAGCTTACATAACTAGAAGTTCATGAGACAGATGTAGCTCTGGGCCTGGCTGGATCCAAGGTTTCAAATGAAGTCATTAAGACTTGGTCTCTGTCCATGTCCCAGCTCTGTTTCCCTTCTTGTAGCCAAAACCAGCTTGGAAGTTTAAACACATCTTGATGAATTGCAAACCAGGGCGGGAGATGGAAGGGTCTTGGCCGATGGCTTTCAAGGTTGCTCCCCACCTGTAAGGAATTCCTTAGGAACTTTCTCTCATTGAACTTTTGCCCATCCCAAAGACTACTCTTTTTGGGTGTTGGGCTTGTCCCTATCCTCCCAGCTGGGATCTCAGGCAGAGGGGGAAAGCTGGGGCCCCAGAAGTCCCTGGGGGCTTCCCCTAAGGATCCATCCCTGGAAATTTGCCTGGACCAGGGCACTGCTGCCTGGGATCGTACACTGGTGAGAAAGAGGGAGCCACTAAGGAAAGCACCTGAAGCTGTGGAAGGGGAGAGAACTACCAGGTATTTGATGAGACAAGTTGTCCACCTAGAGAGATGTGGCAAGGGGAGCCCTCAGAAGGTGTTTGAGGTGAATCAGCTGCCCCAAGACGAAGGGATCAGTTATGAAGTTGCCCCAGTCCTGGCGTTCAGTCTTGAAGGACCGGGCTAGGCGATCGACAAGAAGGTTAGCAAAGCGTTGTAAGGGAGAGAGAAGGCAGAGGATCCAGGCTTCGGGTACTGGAAGGAAAACAAGTTTAAATAGTACCCAGTTCCATTCGGAGTGAGTCAGCTACATTCCGCGAACGCGGGAGGCGGCTGTTGGGGGTGCGGCAGGGCCCCGGGGCCCACGGGGTTGGCTGTAGACTCTAGGGCTGGGGGCAAACCGGACTGCACGTCCCAACGTGTTGCGAATCGGGCAGCATTTCGCCTGCACTGAGGTGGTGGCAAGGCCGCGTTGCGCCAGGCGGGGGCGCTCCGGGCTTGGTCCTGAACGCGCCTAGGCAGAGAGAGGCGCGGAGGGCGGGTCTGGGCCGGAGGTCTGCGGTCTGGGTTGCTGCCAGTTGAGACCTGGGCTGAGACTCCCGGCGTGTCCTAGGAGGTGGGTGGGACCCAAATCCTCCTCCTCCAAGGTCAAGCTCTCAGGTTCCGCAGGCCGCGGGCACAGTCAACCGTCTTCAGCACAGCAGCCCTCAGAACCCCACGTCCCGCTACTAGGGGTTCCCCGCATCCAGTGCCCGCCCCCCAAACCACCTTCCCTCCTACGCAGCCCCAGCTGCCTGCTCTTTACCGCGACGGGGATGCGTGCGGGCGGAGAAGAGGGTCCTCCTTCTCACTGGTACCTCCAGGCCCGTCTCAGGCACCCAGTTCCCTATTGTTTTTTCCTGAGTGGGAAGAGGTTTGGAAGTAGAAGCCTCAGTTTCCCCTTCTGCCCCTCAAACCTCAGAAAGGTCTTGTCAAGCCAGACCTGCCTCTAAAAGAGGCCCTAAGGGAAGATGGCCCAGACCTCGGATTGTAGCAGGTGGCAGAGTACTCAATAGAGGCAAGCTTTGGGGAAAGTAGGTCTGGGGCTAGTGAGCTTGCAGACTCCAGGTAATGGGAGTGGGGTAAAACATCCTGGGGATGTTCTAGCAGCAGCAAGAGCAGCTGAGGAGCTAGGTCCAGCTCCCACCCATAGCACCCACACATGCAGTGTCCATGCAGCAGCCCCACTTGGCCCCCCTTCCCCAGCTAGACTCCCAGAAACGCTCTGTGCACACAGAAAAGCTGGCACCCCCACCACGTGGGGCCTGTTGCCGTTCTGTAGCTCTCTAGATAAAATCTAAACACATTTTGAGAAATTTTATTTGAAAATGTGGGGATATGACAGAGGCAGCAGGATGGAGACTGGTAATCTTCTGACAGGGTGCTCAGATCAGAAGCCAGGCTTGGCTTCCTCAGGTCACCAGGTTCCAGCAACTCTCCAGCCTGGGGGCTCCTGAGGAGTTTTACCCAGTCCTCTCAGGCTCTTACCCCCTCCCCCCTACTTCCTGTGTCTGAGGAGACACTGAGGTGTCTGAGGCAGACTATAAGGGAGCCAGAGTGGGGAGGACCTGGTTAAACTGCACACAGAGGAGGAAGTGAGATCTTAAGAGTTTGGGGGCTGAGAGTAATAGAAAAAGAGAGGCAGAAAAGGAGCCTGTGCTTCCTCCATCCTCAAGAAACTGGGGCCTGCTGTTCCCCTGAGATGTCTCCCTCACAGCTGAAATAGGATGTTCAGGGAATACCACCTCTTGTGACTATGCAATGGCTTCCTGTCTTTGGGGGGGTGGTTGGGAAACAGTCATGCCCCCAACAGGGTAGTGGTAACCCCTGCGGCAGAGGAGGCTGGGATAGCGCATGCCTACTGTGTCAGGCCCTCCATCTCAGCTGGGTGCAGGCTGGCTGTTGGCGTAGGCCTGGTCTGGGAAGGGAGCCCGGGCTCTGCGGGTCTGGGCACACACGGAGGCATAGAGCTCCACCTCGGGGCCCGAGGCCTGGAGCTTTGGCTCAGGGTCCAGCACCACCTCAGAGTACTTGATGGGGGTTGCAGGGCTGGGAATCCGGCCCTGAGGAGGCCGCAGCTGCAGGCTGGTGTAGCACATCCCCTCTTCTGCAGCCTGTAGATGCAAGGCTCTTAGAAGTTACTAAACCCTTGAAAAAGTCCCCACTCCTTCCTCAGCCATAACTGACTCACCTTGGCAGGGCCTCCAAGCATTGGATCCTGCAGGTCTGACTGTGGTTCTTGAGATAGCCGTCCTGGGACACGAATCAGGAATCTGGTCACTTCTTGTTCCTCCTCATGTACCCCATCATCCCACCCATCCAGGACCTGGCTTCTGTGTCCCTCCCTTCTGCCAGCATCCTACCTGTCTGTAGATAATGCAGGTTCCCATACAGGGGGACCTCTTCCACAGACCCTCCAGAGCTGCAACACAGAGTTAGGGATGAGTGGGGGCTTCTTGGTAAGGGACAGCTATCGAACACCCATCTCTTTTGTCCCCCACTCACCACCCCTGTCCCAGATGGTTCCTGCTCCAGCCACTAGTCCATCGGGACAAGTGCACAGCCAGTGAAACGAGAAGCAGCAGCGTCACAACCCCTAAGAGGGCCCATAATCCCCAGGCCTGGGTCATGGAGGGGATGCCTGTGGATGCGAGAGAATGGGGGGTGTTACTGCCCAGCCCAACCCGCCAAGGCCCAGCAAGGGGGCCGTGGGCCCTGTGACCCCTCCCCCTGCCCCAGCCCCGCCCAGCTCACCAGGCGCTAGCTCTTCTGTGCTGTTGATCTGTGCTCTGCTCACGACTGCTGCTGCAGGAGCTGAGTGTGCACGCATCCTGCCCGTGCCTTGGGGTTAGCCTGGTTTATGGCCTGACAACCACCCACAGACCCCCTTACTCCCACCCCTCCCCGGCCCTGGTCCCCGCAGCTCGGCATCCCCAATACCGGCGGTGGCAGAGTCACCGGTTTCCGGGGAGGAAGCGGGAGGGGAGGGATGAGTGAAAGAACAAAGACGCCGCCCTGTGCCTTCGTGGCCCCGTACCCACTTCAGCCAGAGAGAGGCCGGCCTGAGCTTACGGTGCCCTGCGCAGGTTGAGCACAGGAGGACTCCGAGGGGGCAAAAGCGGCAACGAAACAAAGACACCAGGCCTCACGACAGAAAGTCCCTTCCCTGGAGGTGTCCGTCTTTTTCTCTGGCCCGGAGTCCTGTGAGGGAGAACGTATTTCCCCAGTGAGCGTGCTGTAAAGCGGAGAGGGATGGAGAGGCCCCCTGGCAGCACGATCCCGCCATACCCCAAGGCTGAGCGGGGGGACTGTGTTAAGATGGCTGTCACTGTTATTCTTACTGGTGTAATAGTTGGGGGGATGGAGAAAGCTAGTCACTCCCTCCCACCCTACTTCATCCAAACTGTCCACAAGGACTGTTACTCTCAAAAGTTAGTTAAATTAGAGAAATCTCTGCCCTAGTGCTGTCCTGGGTAACTAAGCCCTGTCTTTGTACTTGTTCACAGCAGGAAGTGGAGTACCTGCCCTGTCAGAGACGCCCAACCGCAGGGGCTGCTGCTGGTGTGGGAAGAGAGATTTTAATTCCAGATATAAATCTTAGACTAGAGGTCGGAGAAATGTTTTGTCTGGTCCATACAGTGTTTTGAGGACAAGGACAGGAATTGCAGGAGAGGTCCTGCCCCTGTATTTGTAGGCAATGAGAGGGTGTTGTCTGTAGAGAATTTTTTTAAAAAGCCAACTAAAAATGAGTCTCCTTTATACCATGTTCCAACAATTCTAAACAATGTCAGTGGTAAAACAGTCCTCTCTGAAAAATCTTTTGTAGATCTGAGTACTAAATTGTTGTGGCTACTGATGAGTTATAATAATATATAAGCTTCAAATTAGCACATTTGTATTACTTATCCTTTAATAAACATTGTAATCTACATGAAAGTTAATCCAGAGAACTCCCAGTTACACGAGATTGGCCCCTCACACAAGCAGATTCATCTATGTGTGTTTATATTTAGAATTGGTTCTTAAGATCTGTAATTGCTCAAGTTTGCCTTGGGTGCAGTTTCTATTTCCAACTCCCAAGATATTGCATATTCCTGCATTTAATCAGCAGATTTAAAATAAACAATGACAGCACAATAATTGTAAAGTCAAAAAAGATAAAGTGACTTGAGTTATTTAATTCTGTCATTCTAGGTTACAACTTGTTTTTATTTATGTTGAACATTTTTGGAATGTATTGTGAAATGGGATTTTTATGAATCTTTGTCAAATATCCTTAGGTTTAAGACTTTTCCAACAAAAAAAAGTGAACAAAACAGCAGAAGACTAATAGACACTGAGAAGGGACTTGTGGTTACCAAGGGGGAGGGATTGGGGTGAGTATGTGAGGAGGGTGAGGGGGATAAAGGGGCACAAAAATTCTCAATCATAATATAAGCTGGCCATGGGAATGGTAGTGTTACTGGAAAAAAAAGGAAAACCTGGACTGGATCGCTGACTGAAGAACCAAGCGGCACTCGGAAGTCTTGGAGGGCTGAGGTTTTATTTTACACCGGCGGGCTCAGAGGAGAATAAATCTCCAAAGGTCTGAGCCCCGAACAAAGGCAAGGGGAGCAATTTATATCTTTCTGCTTCCATATCTGTAACATTTCTACATGCGCAGTAAGTAGGGTGACAAAGGAGTTTGGGAGAGTGAGGATGAAGGGAAGGAGGGACCAGGAATGTTTGAGTGTTTCTTTTGAGAAGCAGAGGGGGCCACCTGGACTCGATCACTGACCTTGTAAATGTTAAATGTTTTACTTAAATGTTTTCCTTATCAGTAATACAGTATGGAGAATATAGCCAATGATTCTGTAACATCTTTCTGTGTTGCAGATAGTAACTACACTATTGAGGGTGAGGATATAATAATGTGGGTAACTGTTGAACTACTCTGTTGTATACTTGAAACTAATGTAAAAATTTATATACCAATTATACTTCAATAAATAAATAAATCATAAACTGATTTTTCTTTAAAAAAGTCTTTTCCTAATGATTTGTAAGTCTGCTTCATGTGAAAGAAACTTTTTGAAATGAGAATTAATGAAAGGTATTCTTTGGTCAACTATGAGTGAAGATTGACAAATCTGGCTGTATTCTCTATTGAAGTGAATATGCAAAGATTACTCTTAACAGAAGTTAACTTCAAAAAAAGATGCTGTAATGTTATTCATCACTCAGACAAATATGTAGGTATAACTTTTCTCAAAAAATACAATAATTAACAAATATTAACCCCTCTTTTTCCTTTTCCATTATTTTTCCATAAAGTTTAACTTTGAATTTTTGACTATACATTTTTTATACTGTAGATACCTTATTTACAGAGTTCAGCTAAATAAATAATTCACTTTGTGAATTTCTGGCCCTTATATTAATTTATTTTCTGACTCTTATTATTTGTTTCATTTTCTGACTATTACTGAAAATAATTTTGTCATATAGAAGAGAATTTTTTTAATGATCCATTTGATGTCAAATATGTTAAGTAGGCCACTGATTTCTTGTCAAGACTTAAAAACTGAGAGATTTCCAAATTTAAAAACGCCTATTCGGGGTTTTTTTTGTTTTTTTTTTTGAAAACTCTGAAGACCTGATGAACATAGATGCAAAAATACTCAACAAAATATTAGCAAACCGAATTAAAAAATACATCAAGAGGATCATATAACATGATCAAGCGGGATTCATCCCAGGGATGCAAGGATGGTACAACATTCGAAAATCCATCAACATCATCCACCACATCAACAAAAAGGACAAAAACCACAGGATCATTTCAATAGATGCTGAAAAAGCATTTGAAAAAATTCAGTATCCATTAATGATAAAAACTCTCAACAAAATGGGTATGGAAGGCAAGTACCTCAACATAATAAAGGCAATATATGACCAACCCACAGCCAACATCATACTTAACAGCAAGTAACTGAAAGCTTTTCACCTAAGATTGGGAACAAAACAAGGATGCCTACTCTCCCCACTTTTATTCAACATAGTACTGGAGGTCCTAGCCATGGTGATCAGACAAAACAAAGAAATACAAAGCATCCAGATTGGTAAGGAAATAGTCAAACTATCCCTGTTTGCAGATGACATGATATTGTACATAAAAACCCTAAAGACTCCACTCCAAAACTACTAGAACTAATATTGGATTTCAGCAAAGTTGCAGGATACAAAATCAATACACAGAAATCTGTTGCATTCCAACACACTAACAATGAACTAGCAGAGAGAGAAATCAGGAAAACAATTCCATTCAAAATTGCATCAAAAAGAATAAAATACCTAGGGAGAAACCTAACCAATGAAGTGAAAGACCTTTACCCTGAAAACTAAAAGACACTCTAAAGAGAAATTAAAGAGGACACTAATAAATGGAAATTCATCCCATGCTCTTGGCTAGGAAGAATTAATATTGTCAAAATGGCCATCCTGCCTAAAGCAATCTACAGATCCAATGCAATCCCTATCAAAATACCAACAGCATTCTTCAACGAAGAGGAACAAATAGTTCTAAAATTCATATGGAACCACAAAAGACCCTGAATACCCAAAGCAATCCTGAGAAGGAAGAATAAAGCAGGGGGGATCTCGCTTCCCAACTTCAAGCTCTGCTAAAAAGCCACAGTAATCAAGAAAATCTGGCACAATTTGGCACAAGAACAGACCCATAGTCCAGTGAAACAGAATAGAGAGTCCAGATATTAACCCAAACATATATGGTCAATCAATATACAATAGGAGCCATGGATATACAGTGGGGAAAGGACAGCCTCTTCAACAGCTGGTGTTGGCAGAACTGGACAGCTACATGTAAGAGAATGAAACTGGATTACTGTCTAACTCCATACACAAAAGTAAACTTGAAATGGATCAAAGACCTGAATGTAAGTCATGAAACCAGAAAACTCTTAGAAGAAAACATAGGCAAAACTCTCTTGGACATAAACATGAGCAACTTCTTCATGAACATATCTCTGTGGGCAAGGGAAACAAAAGCAAAAATGAACAAGTTCCACTTGTTCTAAAAAGCTTCTGTACAGCAAAGGACACCATCAGTAGAACAAAAAGGCATCCGACAGTATGGGGAAATATATTCATAAATGACATATCTGATAAGAGGTTGATATCCAAAATATATAAAGAGCTCACACACCTCAACAAACAAAAAGCAAATAATCCAATTAAAAAATGGACAGAGGATCTGAACAGACACTTCTCCAAAGAAGAAATTCAGATGGCCAGCAGGCACATGAAAAGATGCTCCACATCACTAATCATCAGAGACATGCAAATTAAAACCACAATGAGATATCCAGTAAGGATGGCCACCATCCAAGAGACAAACAACAACAAATGTTGGCGAGGATGTGGAAAAAGGGGAACTGTGGATAAAATGAGAGTTCCTGCGGCCAGGATTCTCACCTGGCCCTGGTTGACTAGCTCAGTGCACACCTGTGGGCAATACATGGCTGTTGACTCTATATAAAGAGCCCCGCCCAGTATTCTGGGGGACACGGTGGTATGGCTGCAGGAGAGCAGAGTAAAGGCTGGAGTGGTGGCAGCGCTGAGGACAGAGGCCCAGAGGATGGCTGTGTGGGACAACTGTGCAAAGAAGCCCAGAGGATGGCTGTGCATTATGGCTGTGCAGGCAGAGAAGCCCAGAGGATGGCTGTGTGGGATGACTGTGCAGGCAGAGAGGCCCAGGGGATGGCTGTGCAGGCAGAGGGGCCCAGAGGCAGAGACCAGCTTGCTGGATGCAGACTCGCTCTGAGTGAAGGGGATTTTTGTGACTGACCTACCACCTGGAAATAAAGTTGGGTATAACACTTTCACCCCAGGAACGTTTTGCTGTCAATTTTTTTGGTCACATTGACTCCATAGCGAACTTGCCCAGGACAGAAACCCATTGGCAAGACAGGAACCCTCCTACACTGCTGGTGGGAATGTAAATTAGTTCAACTGTAGGACCCCAACCTCCCTGAGAAATAAGTTAGCCTAAGAGTGGCCATCTTGAAGCCCAAAAAGCCATTCTGATATATGACTCAGAGGGAACAACTGAAACCAGGTAACTCCTCTGGAAAAACAAGTTAATCAATCATGACTGCTGGCAGCGCTAACCTTTCGGTTAGTTAATCATAAATACCTACCCTACCTTGCTAAAGCACCCTAGCAGTAAGAGAATGATCCTATCTTGCTACACCCCCAGGATGTGGCGCCAACCCAGAAATCATAGGTTTGATAAATTACTGCCTTTGTAGAATTGTTATCTAATCTGTAACCATGGTAATCCTTTAGGGCTGAATGCCTCGGAAATCCTATATAACCCCTTAGTTAGAAGTGCTTGGGGTCGTCGTTGAGACCCGCTGCGTCGGGCTGACTTGGACCCCAGCTAGTTGGCTTCTGAATAAATTCCTCTTGCTTGTTGCATCAAGAAACGTCTTTGGTGAGTGATTTGGGGCGGCGCCTTCCTCAGGGGAATCCAACANGGAAGCAACCTCAGTGTCCATCAGTAGATGAATGGATAAAGAAGAGGTGATTCACATACACAATGGAATATTATTCAACCATGAGAAGAAACAAATCCTACCATTTGCAACAACATAGATAGAGCTAGAGGGTATAATGCTCAGTGAAATAAGCCAGGCGGAGAAAGACAAGTACCAAATGATTTCACTCATCTGTGGAGTATAAGAACAAAGAAAAAACTGAAGGAGCAAAACAGCAGCAGACTCAAAACCCAAGAATGGACTAACAGTTACCAAAGGAAAGGGACTGGGGAGAATGGGTGGGAAGGGAGGGAAGGAGAAAAAGGGGCATTACGATTAGCACACATAATGTAGGGGGGTGGGCACAGGGAAGGCAGTATAGCACAGAGAAAACAAATAGTGATTCTATAGCATTTTACTACGCTGATGGACAATGACTGTAATGGGGTATGTGGTGGGAACTTGATAATGGGGGGAATCTAGTAACCACAATGTTCCTCATGTAATTGTAGATTAACGATACCAAAAAAAAAGAAAGAAAAATCTGAAGACCTGGCAATAGTGGGCTCGAATTCCCTAAAGGCAATAATCAGTTGGGGGCCATTTGTCCTATTATACCTGATCTGAACCACTTATTTACATTGATGATGCCAACTGGTTTAGAGTCAAGGTTTGGACTATACTGCTCTGCTGCCTCTGGTAGTCAGCTAGACTATGACAATCCCCCGTGGGTGCCTGTCTCTCTCTACCTGCATTGCCCTGCCCCTTCCTTTTCTGGAAAGACGAGAAGATACACCCTTATTTCATTTATTCATTTAATACACGTGCCAATTACTTATGTGCCAACTTCTGGAGATAACAGCTGTGACTGGGATATGGTTTCTTAGTGAGCTTTTGGTCTAATTAGGAAGACTATCCTGTATGTCCCAGATGATTAAAAGACAGAGTGGAACATGGAGAGACTAGCCAAATCTATCTGGAGAAGTAGTGGAAGGCAAGGAGGGGGATTGCTGGGGGTGGGGTGGTGTGAGGCAGAACACAGGGAGACAGAAAAGGGTTGGAATCTCTGCCCTGCCTCTTACCTAATAAACCTACTTAACCTTCCTGAACCTGGCTTTCCTCATTTTTAAAAGAGTTTCATTGTATTTACCTGTTGAGTCATTCAACAAGGATTCATTGACAGCACCAGGTGCTGTACTAGGCTATAGGAATAAAGTGGTAAAGAAAAAGATATATGGCCCCTGCTCTCGTGGAATTTACAGTCTAGTGGTATTTTATTTTTATAATTAATTTTTAAGTTAATTGGTTTTAATTGTTTTAATTAATTTAAATGAGCTTTCCAACTTTATTGAGGTAGTTAACATTTGTAATAGTGGTTTGAAGAGAATACAAT